CACAGGGCTCGTGGGCATGTTGCCCAGGGGCTCTGTTCTCTCAGAGGAAGCCCAGAAACGGGAAGGCCGTGGAGAGGAGATCTAGAATATTTGTGTTTCCAGAGGATTCTCAGGCTCCACAGACGACTTTGAATGGCTTAAGTAGAAAGAGCGGAGGTCAAGTCCGGCAGCCACTCCAGCTGAGGCTTGCTTAATCTCCTCATCTGTAAAATGGGCACATTGCCACTTGCACTGCCATCTCCAGGTTGTTGTCCAAGAGCCCTTTGTAAACCCTCGATATCATTGGGGGGGAGGGAATGAGAGCAGATTTTCTCTGCTAGAAGAAGGGGAGCGGCGTCCTCTCATTCTCTCTGTTGTTGGCAGGATTCCTTCAAAAACTGGCACCTGCCAAAGCCTTGGGGGTCCTGAACACCCATCAGCCAGGGTTCTCCCCACATGCACCTGCTTTGAGATCGGGGCATTGGGCAGGGGAGAAATGAGGAGGCCAGCAGCCCATGTCCTGCCCGCTCCTTCATCCTGTTCATCTCCTCCACCCTAGACTCAGACCCATGTTCTGAAGCATTGGGTGGGGGGACAAGGCAACCACCCCCCACTGTTGTCTGGGCCTGCTGGAGAAAGGCGCTGAGCCTGCTCCGGGTTCTTTTCCTTTGTTAGGCTAATCTGGCCAACACCTGACATCATACCTGCTGGGGCAACGAGTGTTTCCAGGACCTGACCGGTTGTTTTGGGTGTTGGTGACAGGGTTAGGGCTGTGGCTCACGTGCTTCTGCGTGTTGGAGTCAAAGGCCCCATCTGGGGAATCTAGTGACGCCTCCTCCCCCTTCTGGCAGTGCCTGGGAACATTTTCTAGATGGGCAATTTGGAATCTCTCTCTCTCTTCCTCTCTTCTTTCTTTCTCTCTTTTCTTTCTTTCTCTTTTTCTTCCTTCCTTCCTTCCTTTTTCATGACACCTTCTGGAGTTACTTGGAGACCCCCTGGGGTGCACATCACAGTATCAGGGTTGGGCATCGCAGGTCTAGAGTTTCTGAGGAGCTCCCGTGGGGAAGCATGTGCGTGACAGTCTGGGTGCAGCTGCCTTTTCCTTGCCGCCTCTTCCACCCTACAGCCTCTCCTCCCATCCCTCAAGGCTCTTGATCGATGTAGGGGTCTTTGGTGCATATTTTCACATCCTGCATGGACATTGGCACTACCTGGGATCCTCTTTCAAGGAAGTCCTGCGATGACCCGATTTTGGCTTTGGGAGGTGTTGGCAGGCCTGAGCGTGTTTATGTGAAGCCTACAGAGGTGGAGGCCTGAATGATCCAGCCAAATTCCATAATTTACGGTGTTTCCTAGTCAGCCTGCACTGCCTGAGCCGGACATCTGACGGACGAGGTGTGGTTTCCCCTTCTGGTTTCCACTGGCCTCTGGGTAAAGGGCTTACAAAGGGCTGCCCAAGCTCCCAGTCAGGAAACAAAAGGGTTTCTGTGGCTTTGTTTGGAACAGCAGAAAGCAGCTGGGAAAAGAAATAAATGATTCTCCACTGTCCTGAACTTGGATTAAGTAGATGGGGGCCCCACGGTATAAAAGGAGATGGGGTGAGGGTCAGAGGGAGAGGCTACAGGGAGCCAAAGCTGGGCCCAAAGCAGGCCCATCTAACATCTTGGGGGGGGGGCTTGGATTGTCTGGTCCAGGGATTCGTAACCATCTTTATTGGTCCTGGACCCCTCTGGCAGTCAGTCTGGTGTGCCCTGTGGACTGCTCAGAGGAGTGCTTTTAGATGCATAAACTAAAATATATTGGATTACAGAGGAAACCAGCCACAGTGAAGTAGATATGACAATCTTTTCTTTTTTATACAAGTTCCCAAACTCCAATTTTAGAACCCCTGCCCTGGTCCAAGCTGGCATCTGCTAGCTGCACGGAGCCCCTCCACAGCCTCCGGTAGCCTCGGCTGGGCCCTCGTTAGTGACAGCTAGCTACTGCATGACCTCAGTAGGCAGCCCCTCTAGTGCTGAATAACTCTCCTGGTTTAGAAGTTCTTTCTTGATACTGAGCCAAAATCTGCTTCCCAGCATAGAACTTTTGTTCATCAGCTTAAAGTCTGTCCTAGGACCCAAAGAGAGCATCTCAGCCCTATTTAACAAAAGGCTGTACCCTGCCACCCCTCCAGCTGTCAGAAGAATCTTCCTGAGACAGCAGGCTGGCCATTTCATTCATTCCCATTCCCATTCATTCCTTCCCTATTGGCTCAAGATTAAAACATGATTCCTTGGCCAGGCGCTGAAGGCTTACAACAGCCTAGTTCCAAGCCACCGTTCTCCACCTCGTTCCTGTCCCTCACTGGGGCCCAGCCAAGCTTCCGTTCCCCTTTTGATTGGCCCAAGTTCTCCCAGGTGCCTGGAGTGCCTTCCGAACCTAGGCCTGGTGGGGAAAGGGGGACCTGTGGCCTTCTAGGACCTGACCCTGGGCCACACGTGGCCTGCCCTAGGCCTTCTAAACTCTGGCTCTCTCTATCCAAGGTTTATTTAGCCCAGATGTTACCTCCTCCCTTTGTGAAGCTTTCCCTCATTCTCTCCTCTCCCCTAGGGACCGGCACTTTCTCCCTCCTTTAAAGTAAATGCCTTGTGGGCAGTTTAAAATCGGAGTACATGTTTTTCTCATCTCCTCCATGTGAGCCCTTCACTTAGCCCCAGTTCCTGGCCCTCTTGTCAGAAGATCAAGGTCAAATCTCACCCTGGAAGGTCTCCGCAGTGAAGAGGTTGAACTCGATCTGGAAGGCCCCTTCCAGTTCTAGAACTGGGGTCCTGTGATATTATTGCTTAATAAGCGTTGGAGCTGAATAAGTCATCATCCACCTTCTTCTGGTGTTGGAGGACTCCCTAGCTGCCGACACAGCCCCTTCCATTTTTGGACGGTTCAGATTCTTGGTGAGAAATGCCTTATGTTAAAGTCACAGCTACTTCCCTGTGACGTCCCCCAGTGGTCCTGGTTCTGGCCTCTGAATCGTGATGGCAGAAATGATATGCCCTGGTGAGTCTCATGCCAGCTGTCTGACCTAGCATCCCTGGCTGTTACCAGTCCCTGCTTTGGGGGCCTTCTGAGCGAGGCCTTTCCTGAGTCTTCCAGATGTTGCTTCCTGCCCCACCCTTAATTCCTGCCCCTTTTCATTTGTTGTCCGTGTCCTGGGTGCTAGTAGAATGTAAGCTGTTGGAGGGCAGGACCTGTCTTGGTCTCCTGTGCTTTGCACAGTCGGGTAGACAGGCTGTCTGTAATAAACACAGGTTCGTTCGTTACCTTACATTGGCTTGGGAGTCACAAGGTAATAGGTTTTGGTTGTTTGGCTCATAAACGGGTCCAGGTTTTTTGCGGACCACCATTTTGGCATAGAATCAGCTCTGCTTGGAAACTGAGTTGGGGATTATCTGGTGCAGCCCTGTGCCTCCAGAAATAGAGGTATAATGATCATAGACAGAGCTGGAAGCCTTAGAGGTGAGGAGTTTAACCCCTGCATTTTACAGATGAGGAAACTGAGGCTGAGAGAGATGCTCACCTGCCTAGGGGGCACAGCCAGTGAATGCCCGTGGCAGGATCTCCCTCACTTGGAGTTCAGCACACGCCCAACTACGCCAACCTGCGTTTTTTCGGGGGAAACATCCGGGGCTTAAGTGCCTTAGCCAAGGCACAATGGGTGAATGGATGAGCCGAGAGGAGGCCCAGCCTGCTGCCTGCCCCACACCCCTCAGTATGTCCCAGCCTCGAGGCTTTGCAGATTGGTCCCGGCAGCTTATTATTAAATTTTTCTTTGCTTTTGTTTATTTTGCATTTCTGGTTCTTGGAAGACTCAGCACTTTGGGGCAAAGTGAAATTGTTTGTGTGCCAGCAGCATGGTAGGTTCACACTGACGCAGCCGGGGGTGAGGCCTTTGCTGTTTTCAGACAGCAGCTTGGGAGGATGGCACTTACAGGCCTGCCAACAGGTGGCGTCAGTGAGCTCCAGGCCACGGGCCACTGGACCCAGGCTTAGTTCCCGAGTTCATTCCTTGTGTCCATAGGCCACGGGAATGGGGCATGTTCTGGGGCGTGTCCGGCAGGCCTTTCTTGGTGTTCTCTGCCCAGTCTTGAGAGCGAGCATAAGGCCTATTGGTCCGTCCAGCTCTCTGCCGAGCTAGAGGGACCTTCCCCAGGAGAGGATACAGTAGAAAGAGCAGGCTTGGTGTTCCAGCCATGCCAACTATGGGCATAGCTTCTCAGAGCCTCAGTTTTCCCACCTGTGAAATGGACACAGGCATTATATAACGGTGCGTCTATATAATTGGAACAAAGATTCACCGTGGTTTTATAGGAGAGAGAGTGTATGTGTGTGTGTGTGTATACACACCCATGTGGTGAGGTAGTGTTAAGAGTTTCTGTGGAAATTGGTGGCAAGGATGGAGACCAGCAGGCAGGGGAATTTTCACAATGACTCCTCGAGAGGTCAGGTCATTTTGCTGAGGAAGGCCGAGGGCCACTGCGGCCCGGGTAAACGGAGGAGCAGGGGTGTGGGCAGGGGCGTTGCTGCCCCTCTGCTTGGTGTTCATTCAGAGCCTTTCATCCCCCGGCCAGCCTCCTCGCACCTTATCCATACAGTGACCCCGGCCTCGTGGCTGGTCCATTAGCAAGACAGTCCATCCTTTGTCTCTCCCGAGGCCTAGCACGCCCTCCCTGGCTTCCATGAAGTCCCGACCAAAATCCTGCTTCCGAACAGACGTCTCCCCAACCCCTCTTCATTCCACTGCGTTCTCACCGTTAATCATTTCCCGTTTGTCTCCCATGGAGCTTGTTTGTACGGAGTGTGTTCATTGTCTCCCCCATTAGATGGTAAGCCGCTTGAGGTCAGGGCCTGTCTTTTGCCTCTTTCTGTATCCCCAGCGCCGAGCACAGTGCCTGGCACTTCAAACATGTTCACATGGTTGCCTTGCTCAGGCCCCAAGGAGGGAGGACCCCTGCCCTAATACTCGGGTGTTCTCTTCCCCTCTCCAGGTTCAGTTCCCATTCCCAGGGCTTCCCTGAGGGAAGCTGTCACCAGAAAGCACCATGATGGTGACCCAGGCCGTGCTGGCCCCGGAGCCGGCCTCCCCCCCCACCACAGCAGCACCCCCCAGCTTCTCCTGGATCCCCGAAGGCAGCCCAACCGCGATGGAGCAGCCCATCTTCCTGATGACCACCGCGGCCCAGGCCATCTCTGGCTTCTTTGTGTGGACGGCCCTGCTCATCACTGGCCATCAGGTGAGCGCTGGGGCTGCCGTCTGACTACCCCCTGGGTCCCTGAGCTCCAGCCTTGGTGGGGAGGAGGAAGACAGGCGGGCAGGCTGCGAGGTGGCTGGGCGATGAGCAGCGAGGGACAGGTCTCCTCCCAGGCTTCTGTCATGAGCCCCAGCCCTTCCCCGGCCTCCAGCAGATGGAGGCTAGCTAGTTGGGCCTCTGGGCAGCCTCCTCTTGGCCTGTTTGGGGGTGGTCCTGGGCCTGGGGAGTGGGCTCCTTTTCCAGACCACTTCCTGGTCTTTATTTCATCCTCCCAGTATCCCAGGAAGCTTCCTAGGGCCGCTGGGAGCTTCCTTTGACTTCCCAGAGCCACTGCTGCCCATGTTAGGGGCTCCAGAGGCCCTTCAGGAGATGGGCACTACCAGTGTTCTCCCCTTTCATAGTTGGAGGCCAAAGCTCTGAGAGCTGCTGGAGCCAGCCACATGTTCTAGCCCCTAATCCAGGCCTCAGTGGTCCACGTGGGCCAGATCACCAGCCACAGGCCCCCTGCCTCGTGCCAGTGGCCCCCAGCTCCCCAGATGCCCCCATTCCGCAGCCTCCCGGGGCCCTGAGAGTCTCTGGTGGCAGTCCCCGAGCCCCCTCCCCTTGGCTCACGGCGCCGTTCGTGGCTCTGCCCCCAGATTTACAGACACCTGCGCTGCTACAGCTGCCCCAATGAGCAGCGCTACATCGTCCGCATCCTCTTCATCGTGCCCATCTACGCCTTCGACTCCTGGCTCAGCCTGCTTTTCTTCACCAATGACCAGTACTATGTGTACTTTGGCACCGTGCGCGACTGCTACGAGGGTAAGGAGCGTGCTGGGGCACGGGAGCCAGCCCAGGTGCCAGGGAAGGGAACGTTGCCTAGTCCGGGAGCCTCGATGCCAGGCAGTGCCTGCTTCTCCCCAGCGTCCTCTGCTGCCACTGCCCCCTGGGAAGCCGCCAGGCTGCAGGCTCCACTGCTTGGCCTGCTTACTGTTGGGGTGGGTGTTCCCAGCCTCATTTTTCTGGGGTCATGGTTGGCATGAAGGCCAGTTTCCTCAGTGCTCCATTTGCTCAGCTTTCCTGACGTGGTGGAGGGCACAGGCACACGTCCCATTGTCTAGATTGGGAAATGGGAGGCAGAGTTGGGGGCAGAGGCTCCTGGGCCTCTCCCTGTGCGGGAGGCTGCTTCCAACAGACTTCTTCTCTTGGCCCATCCCGATGGGGGCAGGGAGTGATCAGGGTGGAGATCCCATGGCTTTTAGCCTGTCCTTGTCTTTGGCCCCGCTGCCCAGGTCCACTCCAGACACACTCACCTGCCCCAGGGGCCAAGTGGGCAGAGCCCCTTCTGGAGCATGGCCCCTGCAGAAGAGGCTGCTCCTCCCCCCTCCCAACGATGGAGCAGCAGCCCTGGGAGGTGGGCAATGCCAGCCAGGCCCTGGCTTACAGACATAGAAACTGAGGCACTCAGTGTGTTTGGGGACGAGTAAATGAAGGGACCAGGCCTTGAGGCAGAAGCCCAGGGCTCTTCCCCTTCTGTTCCCTGCCCTGACCACCAGGCCCTATTTCTTCACCTTCCTCAAAGCCCTCCTGATACTGGTAGGGGGAAGTCATGCCTTTTCCTCAAAGTGCCAGCCTCTCTCCATGAGCCGCCTGCTGCCCCTGGAAGCATCCAGAGAAAGCCCCGACCTCCCATTTGAGGAAGAAACTGAGGCACAGAGTAAACACACGCCCTGGAAGCCCGAGTGAGCCCCCCAGAATTCTCCCTCTTCATACAAACGGCTCCTCCCCCAGAGCCGTCATGAAGCCAAGTCCCCGAGGCCTCCAGGGTGGAAGGGAGGCATTGAAGGGACTAGAGGAGCTCGCCGGGAAGGCTGCTTTGTTTGCCTGTTTCTCTGGGAGCAGAGGTCTGGCGGCCCCGGGGATAGGGCCTCCCTGTGGTCGTGGCAGAGCCCCACGCTCACTTCCGTGGCCAGGAAGGGGCCTCCGGCTTTCTGCTGCCATCAGCTGGGCCTCCTCTAGCGTCCTGGGCACCTCCTCTGCCCGAGGGGCCAGCCAGTTTCCTAAGCCCTTTGACAAAGGCCGAGAGGTGGTGGCAGATGGTGGGCGGACCCTCCCGGGCCCCATAGGCCATCTTTGTTCCCCTCCTGCGCCTCCCCCAACAAAGTCGGGCCAGAGCCAAGCAGGAAGTCTGGTGCCCTGTGAAACTCATCTCCTAGCAACGGCCATTCTCCCCTCCCTTTCTCTGAGGGTGTTTGCAAACACTGAAACATCTGCCGGGGTTCGGGCCGCCCCAAAGGTCACCAGCTCTCGGTGTCTCTGGTCAGTGGGGCTGACTTCCTGCCTTCTCCCCCCGTGGCACCTGGGATGGCTTGTCTTCAGTTGCTTTATTCTGTGGGTCCTTGATCAGGTGTTGGGTGGCAGCTGTGCCCGTGCAGAGCTGGAGAATGGGGCGTGTGTGTGTGTGTGTGTGTGTGTGTGTGTGTGTGTGTGTGTGTGTGTGTGTGTGTTAGTGTTAGAAAGAGAGATTCTCATAACACTCCTTCACTTTTCCTATTTTCCTCTCTGACTTCTGGGAAGGAGCAGGGGGCCCTGCAGTTCATGGAAGGGGAGGAGACGTGAGCTGTCCCAGATTTAGGGGCTTCTCCAAGGTTATCTTCATTTTCCATCTCCCCAGGCTTTCTGTTTGCCAGCTTTCTATCCAAATGCACACTGGGAAGTCCCAGACTTGTGCTGGGACAGGTTTGTGACCACACGGGGCTGAACTGTGTAAGAAAGGAGAAGACTCAGGTCAGCAGAGGTCATGTCCTCCATTCCCCTGCCCCCAGGTCACCCCCAAGAGGGAAGTGTCTTTCCTTTCCTTCAGATGTTGCAAAGAGCTTTGGGTGATCTGAGGCCCCGGGGCTGGCAGGGACCTTCACTGGCCCCTTCATCTCACAGACAAACAGATGGTATCTGAAAACAGTGGAGTCACTTGGCCAGCCAGACCTTGGACTCGCAGTCCACAGCCTGGGCCACTGTAGGCCAGCCACCCTGGGAGCCAAGAAGGCCTTCATGAAGCATCTTCATTCTCTCTGTTATCATTCAAGCCTATGTCTGGTTCTGGTATAAATATGTCTATTAACGGAGGGTTGCTCATCCGGCCTTTTTCTGACCATGGCCAGCCTTGTCAGCAGAGAGAAGCCAGAGTCCCAGCAAGGCCACGTCTGGGCCCCTGCTTGCGGCTTTGCCCTGGGGGAGCACCTGCTTCTTTAGGGTCACTGAGAGGTCCAGGAAATGGCAGGAAGGCCCTAGCCCTGAAGAGACTCCAACAGTCTCTTGGGAGAGACCAGACACGGGCCCGGGGTAGCGTGGTCTCCACTGTCCAGCTGTGACACTTCCCGTTTCCAGCCTCAGACTGCCCAGGATGGCCATAATCCTGGAAGAAAGTTAGGAAGCCCGAGTGACCCAGTGAGGAAATAGCAGAAAAGGACAGTGGACAGGAGGCTGCGTTGCCGGTCATTGGGTAGGGTGTGATTTCCCAGTGGTGTGGACTGAAAGCTAGTGGGAGCCTCGAGGCCTTGCAGATGAGGAAACTGAGGCAGAGAGAGGGCTCACTGTATCCTGGGTCTTTGGGAGACTTCCCAGGCTACCCAGTCCCACCCACTCACGTCATGTGTGAGGAAACTGAGGCCCCTCGCTCAGCGACTCATTGTCTAAGGCAGGATTTCGTTAGCACCAAGGGACATCTGGCTGTCAGTGTGGATGAAGACAAAGCTAGACAGTGTTGGGCATATGGAGCAAGAGGAGACAGAGGGGCAGGCCCTGGGAGGAAGCCAGGAAACTATAGCTGAGGACCCAGGGGGCAGTCAGGGAAGACCCCCACCCCCACCCCAGTGTAGGGCTGGACGGGGGCCCCTCACCCCCACTTGGAGAACTTGGTAGCGGCACAGCTCAGTCGCCAAGTTGAGAATTCTGGAGGCTCTTTCCTTGCTAAGAATATTCGGGAACGGGCTCCCCGGGAAGATGCAGGGGTCCGTTCAGGTGTCTGTACGCTCATTCTGGGGAGGGGCTGCAGTCCTTGGTTTTGGGAGGGTGGCAGTCCCTTTAAGGATTAGAATGCTGGAAGGGGGCTGGAGCCAAGCCTATGTCTGGACACTGGGGGGTAATGAGTGGCAGGCCGAGGGGGTCGGCGGATCCAGAATGGGGAGGGGGCCTGCAACTCTTCCCCGCTGCCTTCCTCTGAGACTGAGGCTCTGCCTCTCAGACTGCCTCTAAGAGCAGGGCCACTTGAGGGAGAGGATCCTTTGCTGTTTTCAGTCAAAACTCCATTTCCAATCTAGGTAAATGCCCTCGCTGAGGGCAGAGTTCTTATTTCCCCATTTGACTGTGCCCTTTAATCCTTCCTGGGGCAGCTTTGTTGTGTGTATGTGGAGACAGCTGCTCTGGCCAGAGCCTTTTCCTAGCTGCCCCGAGGTCTGCCTTCTTCTCACCCCCCTGCTGGTGTCCAGGAGCTCCTGCCATGAGGGGGTGGGCAGAGGACTGGTCAAAGTAAGAGAGCTTCTGGCCTCCTGGGGCTTGTCACCTGCCCCCTGGTAAGCTCAGCCTCAGGCTCCTGCAGCGAGAAGGGCAGCCAGTGGGCAGCCCAGAGCAGACGGGTGCCATCTTGGGCTGTATTGACAGAAGGGTGATGTCTAGATGCTGCCTGTCCTGCTAGCTTCTGCCCTCTTCTCAGCCATCCTCTCGAGGACCCTGGTCCCTTCTGGACACCACTCTGTAGGGAAGGTGCCGGCCCCCAACCTCCACTCCAGAACATTTTCTCTGAGTATCAGAGGAGCTGAGGATGTTTCATCTGGAGATAACAGAACTTGGAGGGGGCGGGGAAGGGAGAGGCAGGAAGTGGAGGGAAAGTCCGTCTGCCTTTGAGCATTTCAAGGGGTAGCCTATGGAAGACAGTCAGATTAGGAGCCCCCAAGAAGCTGATCTCAGCTCCTCCTAGGGAAGCCTTCCTTCCTCCCAGTAAGAACTGGCCAGAAGGGAAGAGGCTCCTCTCAGGAGGCAGCAGTCCTGCCTGAGGATCCCCATTCCTGCAGGACCTCAGCAGGAGGCTGCCTCACCACTTTTTTGAGGAAGCTGAACAGGGTATTTCTGTTCTCAGATGGGTTTGAGAAAGTGACTCCTGAGGTTTCATCCCACTGTGAGATTTTATGGTTTGAAGTCGAAGGGGAAGGGAGGCAGATTTCAGCTCCTTGTAAGATAAAACCACCTCACAATTAAACGTGGAAATGGGCTGTCTTGGAGAGGGGCATGAGTTCAGGTCTTCGGAGAAGCATCGTTGAACCCCTCATAGAAATGTTGCCCATAGGATGCAGCGAGTGAGTGGAGGCTGAACCAGATGACTTTGAACGTCTTTTCCAACTGGGCAGTTTCTGATTTTAGATTGTTGGAGACTTGAGAGGCTGGTAGACCCCAAAGCCAGGTTTTTGGCAGACCGCTAGTCCCTCCCTCAGCATGGGCACATGCCCTGTGGTGAACGCATCGCATTTGCTGTCCGTCCTCCACGCTGCTGCCCAAGTGGTTTTCCTTAAGGGCGCATCTCGCCGTGCTAGCCTCTGTACCCAGCCAACTCCTGCTGTTCCTTGTGCCTCTAACCATTTTGGTGTTCTGGGCCTCTTGGGCAGTCTGGTGAAGCCCGTGGAGCCTTCTCAAAATCATGTGTTTAAATGCAAAAATATGTAGGAAGCCAGTTGTATCAAAATAGTTATCTTTTTTGAAAAAGAGTTTAGGATCAAATATGAACTCCTCTGTTTAGCTTGTGAAGTCTGTCACCGCCTCGCCCTGGCCTAGCTTTCAGGCCTCCCCCGCCATCACTCCCTCACCTCTCTTCAGTCCTGTTCCTCACCTGTGACATTCCAGCCGCCATCTTGGTGTCTTTGTCCCCAGCCATCCCCTCAGCCTGGAGTGCCCTCCCTCTGCCCTCCCATCTCAAGAAGCCTACCCCTTTGCATGAAGCCCTTTCCAGTCCCCCAGTGGCCAGCAGCCTCCCTCCCAGATTACTTTGGGTTTAACTACTTTGCAAATGTGTGTGGTTTTAGATGTACTTGTCGACCTCCTCATGGTGTAAGCCCCTTTGTGCCAGTGTCCCCCGTGGGTCCCATCCTGGCTCCACACGGCCGTGCCCCTGTTCTCCTTGCTTACGGGCCCCAAGATGGGCTCGTGCCGGGCCCTTGCTGTTTTCCTGGTTTTCATGGGTCGTCCCTCCCTGTGTGACGAGGCTGGTACCTGCCTCCTTGTATCGTCCCCTGGCTGTGATTGGCAGATGGACTTTTCCTCTCCTTCCCTCCAGTTACGTAGCTTGGTGTCATTCACATCCCTTCTTGCTCCTGAGAACTGCTATCTATGTGTTTTTTCAGATTCCACTTTAATTCCAGGTCCACATTTTCTCCCTCCCACCTCCCCTCACGCCCTTCCCCTTTACAAACATGGAGGATTAAGAGAAACACCAGCTCGCTCCATTGCACTGGGCCCTTCCCTCCCTGTGGCCCTGGGGAAGATGTGGTGCCAGGCTTGTGAGAAAACTGGGCTTCCGGGGCTGGAGGGACCGGCCCCAGCCGGGCGTAGGAGGTTGTGCTGTGAGGTCTGAGCCCAGCGTCCCTTCTGCGACAGCCCACCCTGGTGCGGTCGACCTCCTCCCGTCTCCCGGCCTCCATCGTGCCAGCTCATTCTGCTTCCAGCTTTGTCCTTGGAGAGGCCGTGGTTGGTGCTGACGATGAGACAGAGAGCTGTGTGGGGAGAGGTCCTAGTTCTTAGGACCGCCCCAGCGTTGGCTTGGCCGCAGATCTCTGCCCACTGTTGCCTTCTCCCTCACCTCCTGTGACCGTGGTGGGGATGAGCCCAGGTTGCTTCCCCTGTCATTTTCGGGACCAGCCCGGTCTCCTTTTGACATGCTCCGTCCAGCACTGAAGGGCATCGCGCCCAGGGGGGAGTAAAGCCCCGCCCTCACGTTGTGTCTCAGAAGCTGACTTGTGGCCTCATGGGGCCTTTTCTCCACAGCTTTTGTCATCTACAACTTTCTGAGCCTCTGCTATGAATACCTTGGAGGAGAGAGTGCCATCATGTCGGAGATCCGAGGGAAGTCCATTGAGTGAGTACCCGGCCTTCCCCGGAGCCCTGCTCCGCTTGGCAGCTCACTCCCCCTCCCTTAAACTCTGTCTCTGCTACCCTGGGCCTGGCTCTTTTGAGGGTGCCCTGTCTCAGGAGTGGGGAAGAGGCTGGACAAGGCCCACCCTGCAAGGAGCCTTGACTCCACGGGCCTCAGTCCCTCCTGGTCAGTACAGGTGTGTCCACCGTGGCCACAGCTCTGGCCTGTCTCTCTGCCTGTTGTGGTGCCTGGCCCGGTTCAGCTGGCGGTGAGGGAGCGCCACGTGTGTGCAGAGGATGGCACGAGGTGCGGCGGGGCTAGAATCCCCATGTTAGTTCAGTTGCAGAAACATTCAGGCTGATCTGCCCTGCCCCGGGCCGGGTTTGTGGACGGCTGTTCTCTGCTCTTTCTGGCCCGTCTCTTTCCCCTGGGCCTTTCCTGCAGCGTTCCGGCTACCTCCCCACTCTCCTCTTTGGGCTCCCCAGTGCTACAGAGGGGTGAAGGGAGAACAGTGCCCCAGAGCTGAGCATTTTTATCATACGGCCTTCATTTCGGCTGGCCTCACCAGTGCTCCCCACCCCCTGCCCTCACTTTATCTCCCACAGCTTTGTGCTCACCCTCCTGTCTCTCATGTAGGTCGAGCTGTATGTACGGTACCTGCTGCCTCTGGGGGAAGACGTACTCTATTGGCTTCCTCAGGTTCTGCAAACAGGTATGAGGCTGAGGGTCACCTCCCTGGGCAGTGGGCACCAGACTTGTGGACCGGGGAGATGGCTCGTCACCAGGGTTATTGAGTCAGAAGATTTGGGAGCTGAAAGACTCAGGAGCGTAGGCTTGGGTGTGGGCAGGGACAGATGAGGAAACAGAGGCAGGCCCATGGAAGGGAGCGGTCCCTGTCCAGCGGTCTTGTGCTATGTTGCTGTCGAATGGAGAGACAGCTGAGTCCATTACAAGAGAGTAGAAGGAGAGGATTCCAGGGGAGCCCTGCACACTCAGCCCCAGTGTAAAGGCAGCCAGAAGACTAGTCTCTTCTCATTTCCTTTCTAAATACACATCACCATAGGCCCCCGGGAGCCGTTCACCATCTCGTTAGGGAAGTGGGAGTCCCAGCTGGGGGCTCAGTCCCCATGATGGAGCCCTTTGGGAGGAGGAACCGGCCCCAGACGCTTAGTCATTGTGTCTGGGGTGCAGTGCGTGGGGGCGGGGACGTGGGGAAAATTGTGAACCATGTGAGAGCTTTGCATCAGCTGAACCTGGAGGTCAGGAGGCTGTGGGGTTGTGGTTGGTGTGAGGTGCATGACAATGCAGATCCCGTCCAGACTGTTCAGACCTCTCACTGCTTATCGCGCGTGTAGGGGCTCACAGCAGGCCCCCCACGTGGCCGTTCTGCCTTGTCTTGTAGAGGTCCCCAAGAATCAGCCCGTGGAGTCGAGCCTTAGCCTCCCAGGCAGCATGGCCCGATGTTGCTCAAGGGTGTGAAATCGGCCTGGACTCCAGGCCTGCTGCGCCATGCTGCCCTCTCAGCCCTCTGCCCCAGGCCTCCCACGCCATCCTCTTTGGCCCCTTCAGCGCCGTAGGGTTAGCAGGGAGAACGCAGAAGCCCATGGCAGCTCAGCTTGTGCTCCAGTTGGGCGGCCTCTCGAGGGTGTGGGTTGGAGCGGTGGCTGATGGGAGCTGCCCCTTCCCCCCTGTCCCCCAGATAGGGTGGCTCTGAGCCAAAGAGGACCCGCTCCTGCTTCTCTCCACATCTTCCCAGCCCCGTGCTCACTCACTGTCCTGCTTCTTTCAAGACTTTCAGGGAAAGAGTAAACAATGCCCAGATCTAAGTGAGACGCTCCTGTTCTGGGCTCAGGGCCCACGGGGACTCCGGGCTTTTGATTTTCTTCTGGTTTTGCCAGCCACCGGCACCTGGTGACAAATGTTTCCCTTCCTACCCTGTCAGGGTCTAAAATTCCTTAAAATGGGATTGCTGAGACGGACAAAGGAAATAATTTTAGTCTTGAAGCCAGTTTGGTTAAATGGCCCTGTTCCTTCTCGATCTCTACACACAACCCCCGCCCCCTGCCATCTCTACCGTTGACTTCTAATTGTGAACACCCCCCCCCCCAGCTCTGTTCTTACCCCCGTGGGTTCTCTTCAGTACGACGCCTGATTGGCCCTGGGCCTGCGTCCAGAGTCCAGTCTGCCTGGTTCCCAGGCCTGTGTCCTTTCTGATAATGCCCCACTGGAGGCTGGAACCCGGCACTTGTGCTCAGATCGGTTCTTACTCGGTCTTGGTGGGTATCACAGGAATGTCAGAATGCAGCCAGTTCAAATCCAGTGAAAGTAGAGTGTGTCTTTTGGGCAAAGACCTTGAGAAAGGCCACCAGCATCCTAGAGGGCACTGTTCATTGCCTCCTGGCACAAAGACGGTCAAAAGAGCTGGCCTCAGTCTGGGGCTGCTCTCTGAGCCCCTGGAAACAGCACCTGACCCTTGACCGTCCGTGTCACGCCTGCCAGGCCCAGAGTCATGTTGTACGGCAAACTGAAAGCCATAAGCAATTGTTTTGTTTCATGGTATTTTCTTCTGATCAAGGTTATATTTTTAAGTATTTGTTCAAACATGGAAGACTAGGTTTACCTCCCTGAGTCAAGTTGTAGTAGCTTTGATGAGAATTACAGGTCCGTAGTCGGGAATGGGCCTAGCCAGAGACCTAATCTGAAGCTGTATTGTGATGAGAAGATGCCAGCGGGTCCTGGAAGGTTAGCCAGTGGTGAAGAGATGCCAGTGGCATCCTGGAAGGGTGTGCCAATGCATCTGGCAGTCTGCCGTGCTGGAAAGCCTTCATCCAGGGATGCACTGTCAGTTTTCCAAACACCAGCCTCGCTCAGCTCAGAATGGTCCGTCACCTATAGGTGCTGGATTCCTTGACCATGGCGCCCACGAAGCAAAGGTGAATGATGTGGCCCCCTTCCTTTTGTACCACGATTTTAGGACTCTTAGTACTCTGCATGTGAGCTCCTTGCCTAATGACCAGTGAACAAACACACCAAAGCCGGGGTCACTAACCCTTTTTGTGTGTCCCCCACCCACTTTGGCAGTCTGGTGAATCTTAGGGACTTCTCAGACTGTCATGTTTTTAAAGGCCCAAAATAAAATACGTAGGATTAAAGGAAGCCAGCTCATTCATATTGAAACCATTGTTTAAAAACATCTTTTGAAGTTCACATTCCATAGGTTAAGGGTCCCTGTGGGAAGAAGCTTTTCTTCAGCACCTAATTACGTATGTGCCAGCACGGAGCTAAGCCCTGACAGATGTTTTCATTTGATCCTCATGGCAACCCTGAGAGGTATCTGCTCTTAGTATTGTCAGTTAACAGTTGAGGAAACTGAGGCAAACAGCTTCAGTGACTTGCTCCCCCCCCTTTCCCCACCCCAGCTAGTAAGTGTCTGAAGCTGGATTTTTTTTCTTTTTTAAAATAAGTTTTTTATTGATATCTTTTGTTTTTAAATCTCACAATAGTTTTCCCCAATATGTCTCCCACTACCCCTCCTAAAATCCCTCCCCATAATAAATAAAATTTTTTAAGAAAATTTTAACATCTTTATTTAAAGTTTTGAGTTGCAAATTCTGTTCCTCCCTCCCTGAGTCAGTAAGCAATCAGACGTAGGTAATACCCATGCAACTATGTAAAACATTTCCATATTAGTCATTTTGTACAAGAAGACTCGAATAAAAGAAAAAAATGAAGGAAAGAAAGTGAAAAATGGCATGCTTCAATCTGTATTCAGGCAATATCAGTTCTTTCTCTGGAGGCAGATAGCATGCTTCATCATGAGTTCTTTGGGATTGTCTTGGATCATTGCATTGCCAAGGAGAACAAAGTCATTCACAGGTGTTCGTTGAACAATATTACTGTTATGGTGTATAATGTTCTGCTGCTTCTGTTAGCTTCTCTCTGCATCAGTTCATGTAAGCTTCCCAGGTTTTTCTGAAATCATCCTGCTTGTCATTTCTTATAGCACAGTAATATTCCATCATGATCATTTACCACAGCTTGTTCAGCCATTCCCCAACTGATGGGCATCCCTTTGATTTCCAATTCTTAGTCACCATAAAGAGGGCTGCTATGAACAGTTTTGTACAAACAGGTCCTTTTCCCTTTTTTGAAGGTCTTTGGGATATAGACCTCATAGTGGTGTTGCTGGATCAAAGGGTATGCAGTTTTATAGCCCTTTGGGCATAGTTGAGAATTGTTCTCCAGAATGGTTGGATCAGTTCACAACTCCACTAACAATGCATTAGTGTTCCAGTTTTCCCATATCCCCTCCAACATCCAGCATTTTCCTTTTTTGCCACATTAGCCACTCTGAGAAGTATATGTGATAGGTGATATGAAGCTGAAACTAAGGTCTTCCTGACTCTGGGCCCAGTGTTCTACTCACTGTACCATTCAGCTCCCTCTAGGAATGTTCACTGAGTGCCGGGGGGACCCACAGATTCTCCTGTGAGAGGCAATGAGGGAGCTGGTCTCATCCTTCATCTAAAGGCAATAAAAAACATTATTTCATAAGATATTTGTTCAGCTCCTCTTGCAGGGTTCATAAGGATTGTTTGTAAAAAGACCAGGATAAAGATAATTATAGCTTCTTACTAAAATCTGTCACAGAGGATAGCAGTAGAAAAGTCTACAAATGACTCATTTATGACCCAATTTATGACCCATCCAAATTAAACTGACGTGTATTTTAAATACTTGGTAACTTCAGTGCAGTAGCCAGCAGAGGGGAAGACTACTAAAAAAAAGGTGCTGGAACATTAGTCACAAATGAGGCCAAAGACTCGTAGACAACCCAGGAGCCTCCCCTCCATCTATTGAGAATATTTTCTCTTCGCGTTGACTCTGTGCTGCCTCCCAGCCTGTTGCTACAGATACTGCAAGAGCACGCCATATCCGAGATCACGTGTCTGCTGAGGCATCCCTGACGCCTCGTTACGGATTTGTGACCTAGGGTGAGAAAAGGCGGAAGCGGATGAATTCCCATTCTGTGGTCATACGGTGTCTGATGCCTGTGAACAGCTGCCCTCGGAACCTTGGAGGCTGAACGGATCTGTGTCAACAAATGGATGGTGAAGAGTTGTGGCAAAGATGGCGTCCGCATCTGTGTTTGACTGCACCCTTTCCTTGTTATTCGAATCGACAAAGTGTTGTCTTGTGCCAGGCCCAGTAGGTTCCAAATGGGCATCTAGGGTGCCCTTGGGAAACAACCAGGGTGATATGTCTATTCGCACCAAAGTCCAGAACAAAGAGCACGTGATCAAGGCTTTGTGCAGGGCCAGATTTAAGTCCCCTGGTCGCCAGGAGATCCACACGTCAAAGAAGTGGGACTTCACAGAGTTCAATGCAGATGACTGTGGGGACACGCTAGCTGAGAAACATCTCATTCCTGATGGCTGTGGGGTCAGCCGTGGTCCAAAGTGACGTACACTCCACTCATCATAAAGGGGAAGGATCCCATGTATTGTTTAAGCTGTTATCCTTGCTTATCCCCAGATCTTAAGCTACAAATAAATCTGAGTTGCTGCTTGGAAAAAAATATATATATTTTCTTCAAGAAAAGATCTGGGAGGCATTGAACATGATTAGTTCCAAATAACATCACAAAAAATGACACTGATTGTATGTTAATGGGAAACTTCTGAGTACTGAGGTGAGAATTATTTCCAAATCAGTTGTCTATGTGGTGGATTTGTTAGAACAAGTTAATAATGAATTAGAGTAAAAGTGAGAAGAAGCTGTTGCAGGGAATTGAGACAATTCCAGTCTAATCTATTAAGCCGGCTATTGGTGCCTCAGAATTTGTAATGGATAAAAGAATATACATGGACACAGACTATCACTAGTTCCTAAGGAAGCTTAGTCAGCGTAAACTGAGCAAACCACCTCGGCTATCCAACGCTTGACCACCTTGCCAGCCTATCGGATAGGTGGCAGCTAAGGGCGACGCCAATTCAAACTAGAATTTAATTTGTCAGAGCTTCCTGAGAAGGATGGTAGAAGATTTTGAGCAGTTCCCCTTCATAAAATGGCAAGATGCCATGGGAGGAAATCCCACTGACTGAAAGCTTAGTGGGAGACCCAGTGAAACTGGTACATCTCAACAACACTTCCTGATGAAGCCAGAAGGATGATCAATGGAATAAAAATGGAAAAGGCCTGCCAAGATTTCTACAACAGGTTTTCTTCTCCATCGCTGACTCTGGGACCACCACATTCAGACAATCACATCCCAGTCCCCAGTGGGTAACTTGAGAAAGACATAGGACAAAGGTGATCCGTGCTGGAGCTGCCACATTTTGAGGGATCAAATGTTAAGATTCCTGAAAGAAGGAGAAAATTGGGAAAAATGGAAAAAATTTTTTCCATCTGGAAAAAATTATGGACTTGATTACATTTTTTTTCTCAGAGTCAATCACCAGACTGCCTACTGACTCGTGTTTTATTTACTGTCTTGATAAGGTCATCCACACCCTTATTGGGCTCAGCCTGGATGGAACGCTGAGAAGGACACAGGCGGGCTTCGGGCAAATGATTCTGTAAAGTGTTATGCAACTCTACAGTGCTCAATTGCCTCACCATTATAGAGAAAACAAGACACAACTCTTTATATTTGACTTGTAGAAAATAATTTGATTCTATAGGACAAAATGGTCAGTCAGTCAGCATTGATTAAGCACCTACTATGTGTCATGTCGGGCACTGGGGATACAAAAAGGGGCAAAAACCAGGCAGTCCCTGCCCTCACAGAACTCCCGATCCCACTGACCAAGAGCCATTCCCCACGGGTGAGTTGGCACACACTAATACCTCATGGCCTGGAAGGCCGTCTGCCGCCTCCTGTGACTTCATGCACGTGTGAAAAATAAAGAGTTTTTGAAAACTAGGTCAGAACTCTTGTCAGCGCTCAGCAAGCCTGAAACAGGGACACAAGCTCTCACCACAGGCATGTGCCCCGTCCTGAAGGATGTCGGTCCGGTAGGAATTGAAACTGAAGAGAGATTCCCAGGAGAGGAGCAGGTGCTCAGGCTGCCCCCAGTGGCTGAGGACGTGGTGCTCATTGCACAAAGCCTCCAAGCATTGCAGTCTTCTGTATGAAATCCGGCATCAAGCTCACCTTCATCGGCATCGTGGCTGAAGAGTGCCTTCTGTCCGATGCTGCTTTGCGGCGGGACAGACAGAGCAGAGGAATGGTCCGGCGGTATGCGTCTCTTGGACAGACGCTGCGGCTGGCGCACAAACCGGGCCCAGAATTGAATGGAAGATGAAAGTAGGTGGATTGTCGTCTTTGGGGAATGGCTCAGTGCTCTTGGCTGGCCCAAGCATCTCAGAATGGATTCTCAGAAAGGGATTTTCCTTTCTAAGGAAACCAAGGCCTGTTTTCTAATACCATTCTTTTTCCTAGTGATGTGTGAATTCCAGTGATGTGTGGCATGAATTCCAGTTATGTGAGTCATGAAATTCCAGCGTCTGAAGAATTCAAAGTTGTGGGACGTTCCCATGTGAATGTAGAGAGACACAGCGGGGCTAACTCAGTTGTGGTATATAAGCAATGAAAGATGGCAGCCCACTCCCCTTGACGAGTGTCTGTTAAGCATCTCTTTCAGACGAGGCAGTAAGAGAGGGGTGGTGTCCGTTTCAGAGAAGCAGGGGAGGGGGCAAGGTCAGGAGCAGCCGAGATCCCTGCTCTGGGGATGAGCTCACACGTTCTTGGAGGGTCAGCTAGAATAGCAGGGTCAGAAGAGGGACTTGAGGGGTGGGTGGTCGCCTTTGCAGAGCCCAGAAACGAGGCCCAGCAAAGGGGAGTGATCCCCGGAGGTGACCTTGCTGGCCCCAACTTTTCCACTGGCCCTCTTTGGTTGTGTTCCTGACCTATCCCTCCACCCCACCTTGTATCTGTGAAGAGGCATCCAGGTTTCCATTGGCCGATGCCAGCAGCGTGGAGCCAGTGGTCCTTGGGTGGGCCAGGCTTAGGGGGCTTTCCTCTCAAGCCTCCTCTAGGTGGAAGCTCCAGATCAGTGCCTGTATCACTCACCCGGGTGAGCTGGGACCCTCCCTGGGCCTCCGTTTCTTCATCTGTAAAATGAAAGGGTTGAATTAGACCTTCAGCGTCCCGATTGAGTCTGTGAAAGGCAGCTCAGTCATGGATAGCATGTCAGACTTGGAGGCAGGAAGACCGTGATTCAGATCCTGACTTCAGGTGCTTAGTCACATGACCCTAAGCAAGTCCCTTAATCTCTCAGCCTCAGTTTGCTCATCTGTGAAATGGGAATTGAGGTAGCCCTTCTGTCACAGGGTTAGCCGAGGATCAAAAGAGCTTAGCAGACCGTCGAGTGGTCACTTACGCTGCCATCCTAAACCTTAGTTTTTGTATTTTACAAAACAAGTCACCGGTTCCCCTGCCCCCCCCCCCCGGCTGGGTTGTTATGTATCTCCTGAATCACAGTTTTGTTTGGACACTTAATGAGAGTTGTGCAGCACTGCCCCACTTAATGAGCTGGAGCCACCAGGGGAGACTGCGAAACCAGGGCAGAGCGAATTGTCCCTGTAGCTAAGCAAGTGATTATTTGAATTGGTTGGGGCCAGGGAGGTTAGCAGAGGGCCACAGGAACTCGGAGTTCGTCCAGCCACATCTAGAAAAGGCGCAGTCCTGAGAGCCCTGCTCGGAAGTAGGTCGCGACAGGTCCGAGGGGGCGCAGGAACCGTCCCCCGGAGAATCAGCTGTGGGATGCAGCGGGGAGGAGGGGCCTGAAGGGGCTCGGAGGCATAGATGGCAAACGTGGGAGGCATCATCATCGGGAGGAGAAAGCAGGCTGCTTGGCCCCAGGCTGAGCCGGCTGGTGCCAGCTGGGGGCTCGCGGCAGCCAGCCAGTGTGGGGTGTGGGAGCTGGGGGAACGTTAGAGATCGTATGGTCGAGCCCGTCATTTTATACAAGAGGAGACTGAGGCCCAGGGAGGCGACGGGCCCTTCCCCATCCTCGTTCCCACAGTCCCCTGTGTGCCTTGTTTCTCCTCACCTTCTCTCTGGTTCCTTTCAGGCCACCCTGCAGTTCTGTGTGGTGAAGCCCCTCATGGCCATTAGCACGGTGATCCTCCAGGCCTTCGGGAAGTACCGGGACGGTGACTTTGAGTAAGCAGATGCTTGGGGGCAGTGTATCCCCCATATTGGGGCCAAATTGAGGAATGAGGGAGTAGGGAGAGGAGGGGGAGGTGAGCTTCCTCAGATGAGAGTGGGACCCTGGGAGTGGGGGGAATAAGGGGGTGGTTTGTTCCCCCCACCCCCCGTGCCTTCCGTGGGAGGAGGGATGCTTTTAAAGTCACACAGTATGGTTTGGAGACGTGTCACACCGGGAAACTGAGTCAAGGGACCTTCTCCCTCTCATGGAAGAAGCCCATGACCCTGCTCCAGTTGGCCCTGCCTTCTGATTCCCACAGATGATAGATCCTGCTAACCCAAGCAAAGGGACGAGGGCGGGGCAAAGCCAGGAGCCTGGCAGGCATGTGCTGGGAATGGCGGGGGAGAGGAGACGTCTTGGGCTACTCTGGTGGGAGCTGGCGGTCCTTCCTTGTGGAAGTCCCTCCTTTACTCCCCCTGGCATGCTGAGGCACCCCGGCTGGCATTCTCGACCCTAGGGCACAGCTCAGGGACTCCTTGCCAACAGCTGTTGAGGAAGTACAGACTGATTTTCATTTTAGTCTGAGGAGAACATGACGGGGGCATCCCCGTTGCCCACCACATACCACCCTCTGCCAGGTTACATGGCAGGACTCCCTCCACATAGAGGCATGGGGCCCTGGCACCTGGCAGCGCTCCTGGTGCCAGCCAGGCCGTGAGTGCCCACGTCTCCTTCCTCTTGCAGCGTCACCAGCGGCTATCTCTACGTGACAATCATTTACAACATCTCGGTCAGCCTGGCCCTCTACGCCCTCTTCCTCTTCTACTTTGCCACCCGCGAGCTACTCAGCCCCTACAGCCCCGTCCTCAAATTCTTCATGGTCAAGTCTGTCATCTTCCTCTCCTTCTGGCAAGGTGAGGCTCCTCCCTCACCACTGGGCAGGACCAGGCCTTGGCCAAGCCACCAGGGCCCTCCCCGGATGGCCTCGGGCGCGTACTGTGCTCTCCCAGGCGGCTTCGTTGCCCACACTGAGTGAATGATGCAGGCCCAGATTGACCGGCCCTAGGCTAGGGCCCCTCAGGGGGCGGGCCGCTCTGCTGTGAGGTGCTCAGCTGACTGGCACGGCCGGGAGTCTGGGGACAGGTTTTGTCATGTTGACGGCTTGGTCCAAGGAAGCCGAGAAGTGAGCGTGTTGGGGACACTGGGTCTCGAGTCTTTGTTGGCATTCCCCATTAGACTGACCCTGGTTTTCCCTTGTGAGGAGAAACCAGATACTCTCTTCCGCTGTTGACTAAGCCCCCTGGCTCCTCTGACCTCTGGCAGTGACGGTGGCTGTCCCGGGCCTCCTTGCACACACTCCCTGGGGTACATGTGCTGCTGGGCTCATTGGGTAGATGTGGATTCCTCTGCCCACATGGAGGTCTTTCATGGGCTGCTTCCGAGAAGGCGAGGAACAGGGGAGTCCTGGCCCCCATCATCCCTCCCCTCAGTGCTCTCCTCACTGCCGGCCACTCAGGACGCAAGCAGGGCACCTTCTGTCACGTCCCCTGGCTGGGTGGGCCTCTTAAAGACCCACTTTTCCACCTGATGACCCTTCAGATACTTGAAGGCAGCAGCCACATCCCCAGTTCCTTACCCAGCCGGTTGCCCTCCTTGGGGCATGCTGTCTCCCGTCCTGAATTGGTCCCTCCTTAAACTTGCCCCTCCTCCCTGAGGCCCCCCGCCCGCCGCCCCCCCCCCCCGCCCAGGACTGTTGTCACTGTTTGGTTCAAGGGCAGGGCTTCTTAGTGCAGCCTGAGGTCCCACTGACTTTGGGGCTTCCCTCTCACACTACTGAGTTCCTAGGCCCTTCAGACACCTGGCTCTTCACATGCAGCCGTTGCCGGGCCCCGCCTCCCCTCTCCCCATTTCCTGGAGCCTCCCATCATCACCTTCTTGGTCTCCTCACTGGCAGGCATGCTTCTGGCCATCCTGGAGAAGTGCGGGGCCATCCCCAAGATCCACTCCGCTGAGGTGTCAGTTGGGGAGGGCACCGTGGCTGCCGGCTACCAGGACTTCATCATCTGTGTGGAGATGTTCTTTGCCTCCCTGGCCCTGCGCCATGCCTTCACCTACCAGGTCTATGCTGACAAAAGGCTTAATGCCCAAGGTAAGGGAATGGAGAGGTGTGCCGGAGGAGGCCCCCCCCATCTGGAGTCGGGTGGGGCCAACCTCAATAGCTTTTCTGCTCCTTCTGCTGATGACCCCATTCATCCTTCCAGGGGTCTCAGATAAGAAGCTCCCTGGTTTACAGTTAGGGAAACTGAAGCTATTGGGTGACCGGGTGGGAGACCCAAGAGTCCAAGGGCTCCTTCCTCTTGTCCCAAGTCAGCTCTGATAAACAAATGTGATGTTCCCAGTCTGCCCCGGGGCAGGGAGCTGAGCTGGCTGGGATTTGACTCCAGCCAGGACTGAGTCCAAACAGAGACCCCGAGAGAGATGAGGCCCCTCTGTGTTGGAGGGGACTGCTGCAGATAGAAGAGGCCTCCCAGAGCCCTCAGTGTTCACACCTGCACTGCTCCCTTTTCTTACTGGTCTCTGAGCTCCCCTGTGACATGCTGGAGAAAGCCGCTGTGACGTGCTCCCTGTCACCAGCATTTAGTAAGCACTTCCCGTGCTCTGAGTACTGGGCAGGCAGAGACCAGCGCTGGCTGTGAGCCCCGCTGTTGGGCAGAGCATCTACAGAGGAAGGCTAGTCCTCTGACCCAGGAACCAGAAGGGCTGGTCAGAATTGGGGTTGGAAGTGTAGCACACCCCCCTGCCCGGACTTAGTGCTAGAGCACGGGTTTCTGGGTGCTGGAGGACAGTGTTCTCCACTGGGCCTCCCAGGCCAGAAGGTCCCTTCATCATGCTCTACCTTCCCCAGCTGCCCCCCCCAACATGTTCTCAGCAGGAGGTTATGGTCAGGCTGGCCACACCCTGGGGGAGGCCCTGCAGCCCTGACCCTCTGCATCCCCAGCCTGCTTCCTGCTGTGCCCTCAGAAGGAAGTTACCAGTGTTTGCCAGGATGCCCGCTCTTAGGGGTGTTGCCAGCCACACATCCAGAAGCCCCAGGGCAGGCTGCCTGGGGAAGGGCATTGATCAAAAAGAGATTTATCAGTTATCTCTGGGAGTAAGGTCCCGTGCTGGGCACTGAAGGATAAGGCCAGCAGCCCCCTGTTCTGTAGCCTTGTCCTGGGGGTGGGGCCCCCTCGACGTGGGGCCACCTCATCCTCATTCTATGGTCAGAGGGGAAGCCACTTTCACCACGTGCCACGAGGCCAGGGTCAGAGCTGGAGGAGGCTAGCCTCTCCCTTCCCCCACCTCCACAGGAGTGCCCCAGGCCCTGAACCCTGCCTGGATCAGTAGGGAAGTGTCCCAGGCTGGAGGTGAGTTTTCTGAATGCCTTCTACAGTGATGGAGAGCTCTGGCCTGCAGTGACCATGCCTGTGGCTTCTTCCCGACCTGGGCTAGGAGTGGTCCTTGTGGCCACCCACAGGGTCCAGAGCCATTCAGTGTGACCCTCTTGACTGGGCCCCAGGCTCTGCTGTCCTGCAGGATTTCCTGGCTGTCATCAGTCTGAAGCAGCTCTGTCAGGGGGTGGTAGCCAACAGCCGTCAGTACGTCAGCACTTATTAAGCCTTTATTGTGTACCAGAAACAGCTCCTGCCCTCAGGAAGCTTTCGCAGAAGAGGAGCCTGGGCCCCCCAAGCCAGGCCCCAGGCTAGAGAGAGAAGGGCAGCTCACTTTGAAGGGAGCCAGGATTGGGGCAGGGGGCCTTCTTCCCCCATCCTCCGGGGAGCTTCAGGCCGGCCCCAGGGGATGCAGAAAGGAGTGAGTCCCAGTGTTGAGCCACCTCCCGGGGCCTTGGCCACGAATGGATGGGCCTGACCCCGCCCGAGCCCCGAAGATGCGAAGATGCGGGCTTTGCTGGGGTCCAGGGGCTGCTTTGGTTGGTAGTATTTTGTTCATTCAGTCATCTCGCGTCTCTCTGTCTCTGGTTCCCTCTCCCTGTCTCTGCCTTTCCCCTCTCCCCTGCCTGGTTTCTGATGCTGCGCAGTGCCGGCGTATGGCCCTTACGGTAGGTACTCTGGCCAGCACGGCCTCCATCCCTGCCATCCCTCGCCTCACCAGCATGCCTCCGTTCACTCCTTGCTCCCCTGCCCTTTCAGCCCAGACTGCCCCGGGAGGGGAAGGATCAGCAGGGTCCTACGGCAGCTGCTGGTTCCCACAGTCCTGGGGTCCACCACGTACCCTTCCCCAGGGGTGCTGGGACCTTTCTTAGAGAGCCAGAAGCAGTGCTGTCGTTAACGTTGGGAGCTCCTTCCCTCCCCCTTCCCCCAAGAGCCCTAGCGCCTGGCCGGTGCCCCTGACCGAGGAGGCCTTGGGCTTAAAGCTGGCCAGACCCAGGCCAGGTCACTACAGGGTGATAAGGAACACTTGGGAGGGCATCCCTTATCTCTCCTGGCACTGTCACCAAGTCAAAGGATCGTAGCTCAAGGCCCTTTTGTCTGCAGGGCCCGCTGCTCAGCTCAGAGCGCAGACAGGTCCCCGGGCTCCTCACGCTTCCCTTCCCCATCCAGTGCCTGCGGTCCCTGTGGCTTTGCCCCACTGCCGTGGTCCCCTCTCTCTTCCCTCACTGGAGATGACCATTTCAACCTTTCCCTTTCTCCCTACCTCCAGTTCCTTCCTTCCCCTCGGGCTCTTTGGACTCAAAGACACCCCAGTAGCAGGCCCCCTGCCTCTGGGAGCAGGAGAAAGTCAGCTCTGGCGGTTAGTCATCAGCTCAGGTCCTCTCCCCTTGCCAAAGGGCTGTGCCCTGCCTGCTGCGGGGGCCTGGCTGACCAGACGCTGCCTCCCTCCCCCCTGAGTGTGGCCCTTGGCTTCTTTCCCATTTCCTCCCCTTACCTCAACACCAAACATATCCATCACAAAGCATTGGCCAAACCTGGCAGCGTCATTCAGTGCCTGACTGCGCCGGCATCCAGGAGTCTTCTCGTGGACCACTCTGGTGGGGGCGGGGAGGGGGCAGGCTGCCCGAGCACCACCTCACGGTCCTCTGCCGCCTCCTCCCTGCAGGCCGCTGTGCGCCCATGAAGAGCATATCCAGCAGCCTCAAGGAGACCATGAGCCCCCACGACATCGTGCAGGACGCCATCCATAACTTCTCCCCGGCCTACCAGCAGTACACGCAGCAGTCGACGCTGGAGCGCGGCCCCTCCTGGAGGAACGGCGCCCACGCGCTCGCCCGTTCCCACAGCCTCGGCGGCGGAGGCGGCCGGGACAACGAAAAAACCCTTCTGCTGAGCTCCGATGATGAGTTCTAGGCCGCTGGGACGAGGACGGGCAGCCTGAGAAGCGGGCGCAGAGCTGACGCGCCCTCCCGCCCTCCCGGGGTGGGGGGGGACGTTGGAAACTGTCTAGCACAGCCTTGGAATCTTCCTTTAATTTATTAAACCAGAAACACTCAAGTCATATCACTTCCCCACGGTAGGAGGGGGCGGCCCAGACAGGACAGGCCTGATGAGCCGGTGGTCCCCTGGCTGCCTGGGAGAGAGCAGTCAGAGCGCATGGCTTGGGAGGGCCCCGCCCCCAGCTGTTTAAGGGCATAGGGCACAGTGGCCACAGCAGTGTGTGTCCGAGCTGGAAGAATTGGGGGGGGGGGGTTGCCGCAAACCACTCCCACCTTCTCCCCCAGCCCCCACACAGTCTCCCTTGGAGTGGTTGCAGAGCCAGGCCCCCAGGCCCAGGGATAAGACAGGGTGCAGCCCCCACTCCCCACCTAATTGTGCAATACTTTCCTCCCTCCTCCTTCCTACGTTCTGGTGTCTCAGCCTTGCTCTAGAGAGAGAAATTGGATAGAACCTGGACACTCCCCCCGCCGGAAGTAGGTCCATTCCTCACAACATTGACATGCCAGGCAGAATTGCTGCCCCTGGCCCGTGGCGCCCCTCCGAGGGGGCTCTCGGGCTACTCCCTGCTGCCAGGTTCTCATGGAAACCAGGGCCACACAGCCCCAGTCTGCTCCAAAGACCCCTGATTTCCCCTGGAAGAATAATGCCTCCGGGCAGGGGTGCTAATCCAGTGTATAGGCCTCAGGGCTGGTTATCTGGCATCTCAGACTGGTTTCTCTAGGACCCTGAAAGCCAGTCCCCCAAAATGCTTGAGGAGAGGGGAGCAAAGAAAACCCAACGATAGAAGGGGGAGGGGAGGGAAGCCCACCCCCCTCCCATCTCCTGACCTGGCAGGGCTCTGGGAGCTGCCCCCCCCCAGAAGCCTCCATCTCTCGTGTGCCTTAGTTTCACGGCAGTCCCTTCCCCCGCCCTCCCTTTCAGGCATTATCCACCTTGTCCCAGCCCCTCGCTGAGAGCCAGCTGCTACCGGACGTTTGCCACCAGCCTTGCCGGGCTCAGCAGGTGTCAGAATGCCCCCCATCTTCACCTCTCCTGCCACCCTCACCTCCCCCCATTCCTATTTTGAGGCCTCTTCCTAGAAGAGGAGGCAGGAATGGGTAGTAAAGGCTGAAGGAGCAGATCTTCTCTTGTAATTAGTAAATCAGTTCTGAAATGCATGAAACATCCTCCTCCCAGCCGTCCCCTGGCCTTGTGGGGAGAGAGCTGTCGGGAGCCCCTGGTTAGGTGCACCTGCCTTCCTCCCCGCCTTCAGGAGGGAAGGCTCCTGATTTTAGGGCCTCTCCTGGGGTCAGACAAGGGGAGAAAGGCTTAATGATTGATACCTTGTCACCAAATGTTTTCCTAGTCCCTTGAGCGAAAGGCAAGAGAGATTTACGGGGTGAGCCCCAGCAGAGGAGGGAGATCCCAGCCTCTCTGCTTGTGATCCTGGTGGTGATGGAGAAATGAGCTCCCTTCACTTCCCCATGCTCCCCACATTGGTGTGGGCTTTAGCCACTGCCCACATCAAGAAGGCCAGGCCCAGCTTTCCACAGCCACAGGACACTGCCCTCTCCCTCCTCTCACCTTTTGGGCCAAAGTAGCGGTTGCTGCCCCTGCCCATGAAGGCCTCTGCCAGAGCCCTGCTGGGGGCTGGGGCCCAAAGCCTCCTGGGGCAGCAGGCTGGGGGGATCTCCTCCCTCCTGCTCTTTTTCTGTGTGACTTACCTCCCACGCCCTTTTTGTATGATTATTATTTTCAGGTAGCGTAGCTCTTTGTATATAAAGAAGACTGGAAACCTTCCTTGTATGATCTATGAGAAGTCAGAGTCACCTAGTTTTGTACATCAGGTCGGATTGCCGCGGCTCCCCCAGAAACAGCCCTCTATTTTGGTCTCTGTGATATTTTAAAGGCACCGGGACAGGAGCAAGCAGATAAGCTGAGAGATTATATATATATCTATCTATATATATATATATATATATGAGATAATATAGATTGTACTGAAATCATGTTGGCCTGTGGTGATTTGTCCCCTCTCCTCTTTCTGTATTTGGGGGGGAGGGGGCGCTCGAGGTATGACTCAGGCAGTCCCAGAGGCAGGGGCTGGCAGGCAGACCTCTGGGTTTGACTGAAAGACAGTAGCCGGACCTGTCTCTGTCTGAGCCCACTGCTTTTGCAGACAAGTCTGTCCCATGCTGCTGAGTCCCCCGGAGACCTGAGACGGGCGCCCTCAGCTGCCAGTGGGGCTCCATCCTGGGCTGGGATTGAAGCTGGAACAGCCCTTATTCATCTGGTCCTCAGAGGGGTGGTTCTTGGTCACAGCATCCAAGCAGGATTAGCACCCAGGCCCTGGGCCTCAGACCGGCTCTCCTTTGACCGCACCAAGGGGTGCAAACGCTCCCTCTTCCAGCTCCATCACTCGAAGCCTGGGTGACGTGGACCCTTCCTGCCGCCTCCCAGGGCCCACCCTTCCTGGCAGCCTTGGGGTTGGAGGGCATGGGAGAGTCTGGAGCACCCCAGGGGACAAGCATCGTCCCAGAGGACCCTACCCCTTTTCTGTGCCCCCTGGAGGCCGGAGGCCAGAGCTGCTCTAAGGTTGGCACTGCGCCGACAGGCCGAGCCAGGTGTGTAGGAGGCCAGGGTGCCAGAAACCTGCGTGCCTTTGGAGGGCCTGGCCCAGCTCACTGACGTGAGCCCCCTGGAATGTAGCGGGGGCGGGGGAAATTCCCCACCAGCCTTTGACCTCTCGGTAAACATAGCTGCTTTGTCATCTCCCTTGGAGCTTCCTGCCTAGAGCCCAGTGCCAGCAGCTGGCCCAGCCTGAGGGAGGGCTGAGCTCAGCACTTTGGGACCAAGGGGTCATTGGGTGGGGTCGCTCACTGTTAGTAGGGCCTGTGCTCAGCCCTCCTGGAGCTGGGGGGAGGTGACAATGATATAGGATTGTAGCCGAAGAGCAGGAGCCCAGCTAGTCCAGCCCCCCCAACCCCCCCCCCACATTATATAGAGTAGGCAGTGACTTAGAGGCCATTCAGGATCAGGATTGGAACCCAGGGCTTCTAATTCTAAAGCTCCTTTCTCTCCCAACAGCTCCTGAATGGGGTAATGGGGGTGGGGGAATCAGTCAGTGTCCAGGATTTAAATCAGAAGATATTAGAGCTAGAAGGTCATCTAATCCCTGTCATTTAGACAGGAGACCGAGGCTGGCTGACTGGAAGGACTTGGTGAAGATCTAGTCAGGGGCCATTTCTCCAGGGCTTCCTATGGGCTGGGCACTGTGCTAAATACAGCAGAAGAGCCCTGCCCTCATCCTGGGGCAGTCGCCGCCAGGGAAGGTGGGGAGGAATGGTGGGGCCCTCCTGCAGGGGTGCAGGAGAGGCCTTCCAAGGCAGGGCTTCAGGTCAGGAGCTGGAGGTGCGGATGCTCCACTCTGGGCCAGACATCAAGTCCCCAAAACGTTCCATCCGGATATCTTTAAGTCTGTACTTCCTTGTCCAACTATCTGAACCTGCCCACAGTGACACACCTAGGGTCCTTTGTAGGATTTCAAGCCTAGAAGAACCGTCTTGTCTGACTAGCTCCTTTTACAGGAGAAGAAACTGAGGCCTTACACAAAGGCCAGCATCGTAAGTGGCAGAGCAGAGATTTGAACCCAGACCCCCTGACTCCAAATTCAGTGCCCTTTCCACTGAGCCCCACAGCATCCCTTTAACATACATGAGAATCAGGGTCCCCATTTCTAGGATAAATCTTACGGCTCACAAGGGTTTCCTCATGTAGCGGTGCCCGAGCTGACATCTTTTTAGAGATGGGAAGGGGCTCTGGTGAAATACCTTGTCCAGGGTCACGCAGCAACGAGAGATTCAGACCCACGTCGTCTGCATCGGGTCTATTTATTTGTGGACGGATCTAAATTAAGATGCTTTTCCTGCCATGTAGCCCAAGTTGGCTTCTTTGAGCCTCGCCCTTCTACTACTGGAGACACATGTCACTCATGTCCTTCCCAAGTCTTCTCTCAAACATCTCCAGTTCTTTCCATTTGTCGTTATACAACATGGCCTCAAGTGAGAGCTTTCATCACGTGGAGGGAAGAAGAGGCTTTTGACTTAACTTCTTCTCCAGAGTCTCGTCTTCTGAGAGTAGTGGGTTCCTCTTCCTGGGAGGTCTTCAGGCAGGACTGTAGGGGAATGTCCTTCGGTATGGGTAGGACAAGATGGCCTGAGGTCCCTTCCAGTTTTAAAATTCTATGATTATGTGGAAGACCCCAGATTAGAGGGCAATCTCTAATATGATAAGGAGGGAGGCAGGTCCACCAGCTGATTCTGTGAGTCTGGAACACACCAATGCAACTATGGACTCAAGAACCTGTCCTCCCTGTCCATCCCCAGGCGTCCCCACCCATCTCCAGGTCCCTCCCAGGACACAATCCAGGCCACATTCTCATCTCAGTGAAAAAGAACTTGCTTTATTCAGAAAGTCTACAAAATACAGGAGGCGAGCAGCGCTTACTGTAAGTCAGAAAATAAATAAATTCTGGAACCCCTGGGGGGCATTTTTCAGGGTCTTCTGTTACGTATAGATAAAATGTGATTTATTTGCAGATATAAAATATAACGTCCAGCTCGTCCACTTTCCCACCCAGACTGGGCTCCAGTGAGGTGGGCTGGCAGCTGTGGCGGAGAATAACTTAGCTCTGTGCAATAAATAACAAAGGGGGGTTGGGGCTGGATGAGAGAGGTGTATGTAGCTGGGAGAGGGGAGCAGCTGGGCAAAGAGGCTGGAGGAGGAGAGTTAGGGGAGGGGGGCCACAAAGGCTTTTTTCCATTGGAAGATAAGAAACCCCAGAGTCTTAGGCCCCCTCCCCAAAAGTGCTCACAGGAGAGGGGCCCCAGCTCTTCTTCCTGACTGCCAGCGGGGATCTTAGGCTGGCCATCCCATCCCTTATCCCACCCTGCATAGTCTTTCCCTCTCTCCAGCTCCAAGTGCCTGACTTTGGGCAGACTGGTGCCTGGGGCCTGGCCTGCCTCCTAGAGACCCCCAGCCCCTCAGGGAAGCCCAGGAGGAATTCTAGCACATCTCTGGGTGTCCCAGGCCCTGGGAAGATGGATGGGCCAGCCGTGGGGGGCTTGGAGGGGCTCTCTCAGCCTTGAGGGATATCTAGACACCCTCTAGAAGACCCCATTCTTCAGGAAGAGAGCTCCCACGCACCCATGCCAGGTCTCCAACCTGCTTCCAAGGTTCCTGCTGCAGGGGCCAAGAGAACCAAAAATCCAGAGGAGGGGGGAGGTCGGGACATGGCCCCTACCTTGCCCCTCTCCTCCCGGCCCTGGGAGAAAGGGGCTGAGCTGCTTGCTGGGTCAGTTTTCTTGGGAAAGAGAGTGGCGCAGGGGTCCCCACAGCAGAGTCCTGAGCCTGTCCCCCCTCTCCTGTGCGTCCCCTCCGTCGTGTCCAGTTTCCCGTTGAGGAAACGAGGGGGTGGGGAAGGGCAGGCTGCTAAGAGCAGGGAGGGCATGGGCCAGGAGTGGAGGGTGCCCCACATCCTAGTGCCTGGCACAAAGTCGGCACCTAATCAATGCGTGTAGATTTAACTTCAACTGCATTTGGGGGGGGGGGCGGAGGATGGAATTGTCTTCCTCCTCCCAGTTTCTGCTTCTGAGCTACCCCTTCCCCAAACCCACCGCTACCCAGGACTCGTGAGGGCCAGACGGGGGAAGGAGCACTGAGCCCTCCCGCCCCTCGGGAGCACAAGGAATTGAGGTGGGCTGGCGGGCCGACCGAATTAGGAGCTTTGGAAGGCAGGGCCACGGGAGGGGGCGGGGCCTGGGAGGTGTCAAGGCTTAGACGAGGAGGCGGGGCATTGGGGAAGAGGCTGAAATCCCATGGGGGCGGGGCCTGGACCAGGCCACCCTGTCAGCAGAGAGCGGGCCAGAGGCGGGGCCTAGATCAGGACCTCCCTATCCGCGCAGGGATGGGATCTGGGGGGCGGGGCAAGGACCAGGCCACCCAGTCTGCGGAGCGGGGCTGGAAGCCGGGGGCGGGGCCTAAGTGTGGGCGGGGCCGGGCCCCCATCCACGCAGGGGTGGGAGCGCAGGGGCGGGGCCGGGACCCCCTATCCGCACGGGGAGGGGCATCGGGGGGCGGGACCCGCGGTCACGAGGAGCAGGCTTCGGGGCTGGCTGCGGAGGCCGTTGAAGCTGTGGTGGAGGACTTGACTATGGTAATGACGCTGGCCGGTGCCACCTTGGCGGCGGGCCCTCCGTGTGCGGCCACCGAGCGCGCGAAGCCCTGCAGCGCCTCGTACTTGGAGCGCAGGGCGTCGAGCTCGAGGCGCATGGCGGCGTTCTCGCGGGCCAGCTTGTCCACCTCCCGCTCCAGCTCACTCTTCTGCTTCTGCAGCTCCTCTTTCTGGCACACGCGCTTGACGCGGCAGCTGGCTGCGTAGCCGCGGTTCTTGAGCGTGCGGCGCCGCTGCTTCAGCCTCGCCACCTCCTCCTTGGACAGGCCGCGCAGATGGTGGTTCAGCTCCCGCACAGACAGCGCCATCAACTCCTCATCCGACAGGTGCGGGCCAGTGTTCTCGCCCAGTTCGCGCTTGATCTGCGGGGCAGGAAGGGTGTCAGGCGGGTGTGGCCTGGGAGGGGGGGACGGACAGGGACTCCCCCGACACGACACAGACACGTGGACACAGAAGCTGACATCGACACAGACACTGACATTGACACAGACGCTGATGCTGACATTGGCACAGACACTGACACACACACACTGATGCTGACATTGACATTGACGCTGACATTGACACAGACGCTGATGCTGACATTGGCACAGACACTGACACACACACTGATGCTGACATTGACACACACACTGATGCTGACATTGACATTGACGCTGACATTGACACAGACGCTGATGCTGACATTGGCACAGACACTGACACACACTGATGCTGACATTGACACACACTGATGCTGACACAGAAGCTGACATTGACACAGACACTGACACAGACACTGATGCTGATACTAGCACAGACACTGACAGACACTGATGCTGATATTGACACAGACACTGACGCTGACATTGACAAGCTGATGCTGACATTGGCACAGACATTGACATTGACACACACTGATGCTGACATTGACAGACACTGACACAGACCCTGACACTGGCACACACACTGCTGCTGACATTGACACAGACACTGCTGCTGACATTGGCACTGACACTGACACAGAAGCTGACATTGACACACACACTGATGCTGACATTGACACACTGATGCTGACACAGACACTGATGCTGACATTGACACAGACACTGACACAGACGCTGATGCTGACATTGGCACAGACACTGATGCTGATATTGGCACAGACACTGACACTGACACAGAAGCTGACGTTGACAGACACTGACACTGACATTGACACAGACACTGATGCTGATATTGACAGACACTGACGCTGACATTGACACAGACGCTGATGCTGACATTGACACAGATGCTGATGTTGACATTGGTACAGACACTGACACTGACACTGACACAGAAGCTGACATTGACACAGACACGCTGACAGACACTGACATTGATACTGACACTGACACAGACACTGACGCTGACATTGACACAGACGCTGATGCTGACATTGGCACAGATACTGACATTGACACAGATGCTGATGCTGACACAGAAGCTGACACAGACACTGACATTGACACAAACACTGACAGACACTGATGCTGATGCTGACACAGACACTGACATTGACACAAACACTGACACAGACACTGATGCTGACATTGGCACAGACACTGACACAGAAGCTGACATCGACACAGACACTGATGCTGACATTGGCACAGACACTGACACAGAAGCTGACGCAGACAGACACTGACATTGACACAAACACTGACACTGACACAAACACTGATGCTGACATTGGCACAGACACTGACATCTACACTGGACACCACAGCCCACGCTTTCTCTCCTTCATCCTAACCTCTCTCTTCTCGCCTGGCTGCTCTCCTCACCCTGTTCTTCTCTCATATCCTCCGTCTCCCTGTTGTCTCCTTCATCCTTCCTTTTCTCTTCTTTCCTCACTCCTTTCTCTCTTCTTCCCACTCTCTCTTGCTCTTCTGTCTTCTCATTTGCCCACCCTTTCTTCTCTCCTCTGCCTTCTGCCCTCACCCTCTTCTCAGTTTTTCTTCTCTCTTCCTTTTTCTTCCTTTTCCTTCTTTTCCTTCTTTGTTTCCAACTTTCTGTCCTCTCTCCCTATTTCTCGTTCCCCATGCCCTTGCTCTTTTTTCCTCCTTTCATTTACTTCTACTTTACTTTGCTTCCTCTTCAACTTCCATTGGCTCTTTCCCGTTCGTCTTCCTTCTCCTCCCCTTGTTCCTACCTTGTCCTTTCCTCTCCCTCCTCTTCCCTACCTCCCTCTGGTTTTCTCTTCTCCTCTAACTTCTCTCTTCATTCTCTCTTGTCCCATTCCTTTCCCCTTTGCCTTCCTTTCATCGTCCTTCCTCTTACTGCCTTATTCTTCTCTGTCTTTTCTTCCTTTTCCCTCTCCTCCCCCTCCTCTTTCTTCTTTCCCAGTTGTCTTTCCCTTTCTCTTCCCTCTTCTTCCCTCTGCTTTCCTCTCCTTTCCTCTCCTTTCCCTCTTCCTCCTCAATCTCCTTTTGTCTTCTACTTTCTCTCCTCTCCTCTTAACACTTATTTTCTCTTTCTTTTCCTCCCTTCTACTTCCCTTCTCCCTCTGATTTTCCTTCCTCTTGAGGTCTCAGTTTCCTCTTCTGTAAAATGAGAAGGACTAGAACTAGATGATCTCAGAAGGGCCTTTTCAGCTCCAAAACCAACCTATGATGCTTACTCTCCCTCCCCCCCATTCCTCAGTCCCTTCGTCATCTTCCCTCTACTTATGCCACTTTCCTCAATCACGCTTCTTCTCCCTATATTCTTCCCTCCTTCTTGTCTTCCTCTTTCTTCCTCCTCTTTCCTTTTACTGTTTCCCTTCCTGCCTCCTCCTTTCTAACCTTCTTCCAATTCCCACCTTCTGTTTCCTAATACTAGAAGGAGAAGGGGCCATGGATGAGGTGGGAATAGAGGAATCATCTTGGCTCTTTTCTCCTAAGGCTCAGTGCAAAAGTCCTAAACTTCCCCCATTCCCTTTACCTAAGGGGGACTGGTCCTTGGGAAAAAAATTTAAAAAACCAAAGAAGGACAATAGCTCTAGAGCCCAAAGTGACCTCAGAAGCCATCTGGTCCAACACCCTCATTATACACATGGAGAAACAGAGGCAAACAGGGTGAAGTGACTTGCCCAAGGTCATGAAACGTGATTTCTCCCTGAAATCTGTACACAGTAAGTTAACAACCCCTGGGCTAGAGAATCCCCAGGTTCCATTTTAACTCTAAAGTCTGTGATCTGCAGCTGCTGAGGACTTGATTAAAAGTCAGGAGGACTCTAGAACCAGGAGAACACTGGAGTTTGGAATCTTGTGTCTAGGAGAGTTCTAGAACTTGGGACCTTAGATCACAGGAGCTAGGAGAATTCTAGAATTGGGGCCTTGACTAGCTTGGGGTAGGGAGCAGCGAGTAAACAGAAGACAGGACAGGAGGGGAAGGAATCAAAGGAAAGGGCTCTCACCTTTAATGCTTTGCTGGATAAGGTGTCTGTAGACATTTTGGGGTCAGGTGCCCTCAGGGCTGGAAACCTGGAGGAAAAGAGGAGATGAAGCATTATTGTTCCAAGCCCTGACTCTTGCTTTTCATCTTAGGGATAAGGTCTTGAGGAGGCACTCATCCATGATTGGAGCTAGCTGTATCCATGGACAAATTAGGTGGCCACCAACCTCAGACTTCCCCCTCCGTCAGCCTCCTCTGAAATCCCTCCTCTTAGAGTCATTCATTCATCAACATAGGTGAAGTGCCTGCTGTGTGGACAGAGCACATATCCTCAGCAGAGGAGGCTGGGGGTGGCTGCACGCTCCTAGATTCCTTGCTACTGGGAAGGCTGAAGCTGGCGGACCAGTTGAACTCAGGAGTTCTGGGTCATTTGGGTGTCTGCCCTAAATCTAGGGACACCGATAGGATGAGCCTCAGAATGGAAGCAGGGAGATCCAAGCCTCAAAAAAGAAAAAGAGCCAGGTTTCCTGCCCTCAGAAAGGTCACTCTAGCAAAGCAATGACACCAAGGCAGACTGCTGTATGGAGACCTAATTATAAGACCTCATAAATGGACATGACGAGAACAGAATCAGTAATGGGGTACAGTGCAAAGAGCCCTGCATTTGATTTTGGGAAGACCTGGGTTCAAATCCTGGCTGTGCCACTTACTAGCTGTGTGACCTTGGGCAAGTTAATTCTCCTTCAGCCTCAGTTTCCTTTTCTGGTGAATCAGGGCTCTATGACCTGTAAGGGCCCAGTCCAATGACCATCCTGACCGAACCCATGCTACCTGAGGGCGTGAGTGAAGTCTAGAGCTGGTCCAGGAGCATTGGTTTGGGTAGATGAAGCCAGCCAGATGTGGGACAGGGATAATAATAAGCCTAAGTGATCAAGGGCTGATTTTCTTAGTCTAGAGCACCCCCAGGAGGAAATCCCTCCACCAATGCAGACGATCAGCAGCTTAGAGCCTCTCACAGCCTGAGACTTGAATCCAGGCCTTCTTGGCTTTGAGGCTGTCACGATTTACTCACTCCCCTCGAGATGTATGGCTGTAGGCGTGTGCATAAACATCTGTGTAGGTCCTGACCTGTGACATTGTGATAGGGAACTCCCAGTACAAAAACTCGTTTCGCTAATGCAGATTACTTTCCTTTCTAACTTAGTCTTAGAGCATTGAGAAGTAACTTGTCAGGGTCACTCAGACCGTGTATACCAGAGCAGGACCTGAAGGTCCTGCTGACTCTAAGGCCAGGTCTTTAACTACTACACCACGCTATCCTCATGCTTGCACACCTACCCCCTTTGGATGACTCCTATGCCATATTTCATCTGATCCTAGCTATTGATCTGTTGGGGTAGTTAACTAGGTGGTATAATAGAGCATTGCCCTGGAGTTCACCCCATTTACCTCAGTTTCCTCATCTGTAAAATGAACCAAAGGAAATGGCAAACCCCATTTTTGCCAAGAAACCCCAAAATTTCCAAGAAAACCCCAAATGGGTCACAAAGAGTCAGACGTTGACTGAAACAACTGAACAACAACAAGGAGAAGGAAACTGAGGCACGGCAAGAGAGGATTCATTCACATACCTTCTAAATGGCAGGGCTGGATCCCCAGACCAGACTGACCGATGCTCCAGAGCCAGGCCTTTGCCCAGGACGGGCGCTCATGCCCAGCAGAGATGCTGTGAGGTCAGTAAAGGCCATGGCCTCTGCCTCGAGGTGGGAGGGTGTGAAGAGGGGCCACCTCACACCCTTTATGCACCTCTTCCATTGCAGGGAAGGCTGAGCCATCAGGTGAAAGGCATGGCTGGGGGATTCCCTATTTCCCAGTGCCCAGCCCCTAGCAGAGCCCCCAGAACCTGCCTTGTCACTGATCACCCAACAGCCAACCAGGGTGGTATGGTGGAAGGAGCCTCAGTGTCCTCATCTGTAAAATGGGGAGAATAATACTGCCAACCTCAGTGGATTGTAGTGAGGTTCAAATGAGACCACATTAGTGACATGCTTTGCAAACCTTACAGTGTCATGAGAGGGCCCGCTCTTATGATTACTGTCATTGTTATGTCTGCCAACAAGTATTTCCTAAGGGCTAGCTATGTGCCGGGCACCGTAATGTGTTATTATTAACGCGCTGTGCATTATTATTATTAGCATCCTGTGACCAGCCAGCGCCCTCCCCACAGATACTCGGCCACGCCCATCCCTCCCAACAGCTGACCTGTTCTTCCCCTGTCTAGTGAAAAGAGAATTCCGAGGGGGTCCTTCTCTCCCCTGGAGTGCTCATACTTAGGGCTGCCCAGGACTGGCGCCTCCTGAATCTGTCTGTTTGTTCTTCCAGATTCCACTTTGTAGGAGGAGGGATCTCCCACAAGCAGAGCAGGGGAAATGGGGGTGATGCAGGGAGAAGATGGCTTTTCTGGAGGCTACAAGGAAAGTGGTCAGAGCCTGGGCCACAAGCAGCCCCCTGATAGCACTTCTGGGTGGGGGGAAGGAGGGGAGGGACAGGCCCCCTGAGCTGGGATATCCCCACGGGATTTCTCAGGGTTACTAAGGAAAATCTAGCATTCTTTGTAGTACACGACACCATCCAAGTCCCTCATTTACTAGGTGAAGCCCCGACAGTGGGAGTTGGCTTGTTCCAGGCTGTGTAACAGTGAACCCCAGACTCCTGGCCCCCAGACCAATTCTCTTCAGTGTCACACACTTGAGCATCTGTGGGGCAGGCCCTAGCTGGTTGTGTGATCACTGGATCTAGAATGATCTAGAGTCCTCAGAAGTCATACACATCTGATTCTTCCTCTTCATTTTACAAATGAAAAAACTGAGGCCCAGGGAAGCTAAGTGAGTACACGGAGCAGGTCTCATTGGTTATATGAGCCTGGCTTCTCCTAAGGAATTCACAGGCTGGAAGGCACCTCAGAGGTCAGCGGATCTACACCCCAGATTTTACTGGTGAGGAAACTCACGCCTCGAGAAGGAAAGTGACTTTCTAGAGTCACATAGATAGTAAAATGTCAGAGGTGGGTCTGGAACCCAGGTCTGATAACTACAGAACCAGTGTTCTTTATCCAGGACCACACCATTGCCCTTTATTCAATTCAGCAAGCACATAAGTACCTACCCTGTGCTCGTCGTGAACAAGGTATTTATTAAGTGCTTACTCTATACCAGGCACAGGTCTGGCTCCCTGGAGACACAAAAACAGAACAATCCCTGCTTTTCATTTAAATGGGGCCAACAGAAATGACAGGATCATAGATCTGTAGCTGGGAGGGACCTGTGAGTCCCCAGCCACACAGCTAACTAACACCAAGTGTTACCCTGTCCAAGAGCTCATAGCCTTGTTCTTTCTGAAATGGCAGAACCTCCTTTCTTCCCTTGGGAAAGAGGCTGGAGAAAAGCCCCAGCTGCCTAGCTTGGGATTGCAAGCAGGGGCCTGGCCTACTGTTGGTCTCAGCCTTCCCCTCCCCCTGCTCCAGCTGCTTCAACTCTGCCCAGTGTGAGTTTCTACACTCCTCCATCCCCACCCTAGGATGTCCTTTCTCGTTTCATCTCCTCTCATGCCCCTCAGCCTACTCCCTGTCTCCAGGGACATGGAGTCTTCTTCCCCATCAGGGTGACTTAGGCAGAAGTGGGGAGATTCCCCCTGGTTTCTCAGAAGCTCCTCCCCGAATAGAGTGAGGGGTGGGAGGAGATGGAGCCCAGAGGGGACCAAGGCCATTCCTGGTGGGAGGGGAACAAGGCTCAGAGGAAGCCTGAGGAGGAAGCTGGTGGTCTAGGAAGTCCCCCGGGAAAGCACAGCTTCTCCTCCCAACTCTGTCCTGTCCTGGGAGTCCATCAGAGCCCGTGGAAGCAGGAGTGGCCCTTGGCATCAGCCCTCTGATGAGCACATCCTTCTACAGCCCCTGGGGTGCCTGGTCCAGAGGAACGGGTGGGGCAGCCCTGGCCAGGGAGGAAGAAAAAGGAGACAGGTTTGGGAAAACCGAGGCAGCTCAGGGAAGAGGCGCTGCCCCTGGGTAGGCCCATATGGTTAGTTAGTGGTCCCAGCTCCAGATCAGAATTGGAGGAGTGTCTGGGGCTCAACGCCACTGGGATCTGTCAAAAGGGTATTGGGGCAACTTGGTAAATATATTATCCTACTGAAGAGAAACACCAAAACACAGCAGGCAGAAAACTGGCTTCCAAGCCCCAAAGGCCTGGGTTCAACTGCTGTTTTGGGCATTGGGTGTGCATGACCTCTCTGTGCTCCCAGCAACATTCTAAGATGACATTTCAAATGAGGAGCAGACCTGCCCTGATTGAGGAGAATCCCAGATTCTGTCTCCTCCCTCTAGCCTAATGAGATAGTCCAGCCCTGGACAGTCCATCCCACACTGGGCTGGCAAAGTGACCTTCCGAAAGCTCAGGCCTGACCATGTCAAGAACCTTCCTATTGCCTCGAGAATCAAACACAAAACCTCTGCTTGACATTCAAAGCCTTTCATAACCCAGCCCCCTCCTATCTCCCCAGTCTTCTTACCCCGTACTCCCCACCACGTACTCTTTGATCAAGACCCTCCATCTCTAGGCTCCAGACATTTTCTCTGGCCCTCATGCCTGGAAGGCCCTCCCTCCTCATCACCTCCTGCCTTCCCTGGCTGCCTTCAAATCCCAACCAGGATCCCACCGTCGACAGGAAGTGCAGAATATTGTACAGATCAGGGCCGAGCTGATGGCAAGTCTTCAGTGTGAACATTTACACTTTGGAAATCAGTAAATGCTACCAATCAGGTCACACTATTGTTTTGTGGACTTTCTGAGGAAAGTAGGTAACATGGATATATTCAGAAATGAAAACAAAAGATATTCATAAATTTTTAATCAAAAATTTCAAAAACTACCGAGTTTCAAAACCCCACCTTTGTGCCAGACCCTACCCCAACCTTGGTGACCGCCCTGAGGTCACCAACCCATCCACACTTGTGGATGGAGACCATTGTGTGTGCACTATCTCGGAGGTGGAGATGGGGTGGGGGTGGGGCACAGAAGCACAAGACCAGCAGATG